ACCGTGACCCTGGCCTTTTGCATACGGGAATAAAGCGGGATGACATAAAAGCCTTTTCCGTCGCCCATGTGGGACCGTTTTGGGGTTTGGACCGGTGTTTTATCTCGAGCACGGACTAGGTAGTCCAGATGACCACATTGATGTCATCAACCCTCCAGTTTTTTTAGCCTCAGGCATAACGAAACACATGTTTGGCCATTTTAAGACGTTTTTGACTGTTTTGAGCCCTCCGGTAAGTAGAGCTTAAGTCACCTTGAGTTAGGTACCCCGAAATGATACTCTTAGACAGCTGGTAATGCATCCTGAAAAGCCTGATTACCAACTTTCTAACGCTAAGACCTTTTTGAAGGCCATTTTGGCGCCACACAGTTTTGGCCACATGGCTCACTCGTAAAAGCTGACAAAAAATAGCATAAACTTGCAGCAATTGACTCCCGGCAAATCATCGGCGTCACTTGTTGACTGTGCGTCCAGTTAGCGACAGACATTGGCTACATACTGGATGGCCTCAATCACCCTCAACCGTCATGAATGGCCCAGTGCGGACTAAATACCGAGACGTTCCCGTATCGGAGACCTCTATGTTGCGGCGTAAGCCGTCTCCACAGGAAGTAAACTCTCTGGCAAAAAATATTTTGTCTAGACGAATTAGTTACCGTGGAGCACATTCACAGTTGCCATGGCAACCCCAAAAGCTTAGTTACAAAATAAATTAAGCGTGGCTTTAAATAAGAGAGCCTCTTAAAGAAAAATTTAGGTGAGAAGGAACTTATGGGACACCCTGTAGGTACCTAACATTGACATGCCACGTCCAGAATCGTGGACCGCTAAATACTTCAAATCTCTTCCTTCCCAATCCGACAACATCCCATGTCTCAAATGCACATTGTGTGGAATGATTTTTCAGGCTGCCCGTCAGTCTCTGTCTAACCGAAACCGTCACAGGCATGATGCAGGTAAGATATTTATTTCTATTTCCCTATGGTTAATATGTTATTGATGCATATTATCCATTAAAATAGACATGGTGTAGGGTAAATGGCCAAATCACGAACACTGCCAAAATCCGAGCAGCCAACTTTCAACTGCAATATCTGATATTTAGTGTAAATGGAGTTGTAATATGGCCAAAATTAAATTGACAACTTTTAGGTGAAAGGTGGTGATTTGGGTTAAGGGGCGAGTCAACTAACTACTGGGTCATTTTGCACCCAATAAATGACACTTCTGCTCCAATTCTACCCATTGAACCTCAATATCATGATCCACCTGTCCATCACTAGATATCCTTCCTTATTACATAGAAAGTTTGAATGGCATGGCAATTTATAATTTTAAATGACAAAATTTTTATGTTTCTTCTGTAGGTAGGTAGGTAGGTAGGTAGGTAGGTACACCAGACTGCTATGGACACTTTTCCAAGTTGGTGGGGCAAAAAACCTAATGTATGTCTTGGTTTGAGTCGTTTGATTGAGTTGATTGATTCCTTTCATTGTCACGTTTGAGTCGATTGAATCAATTCCCGAAAACTGCTCTGACTTGATTGATTTGATTGGTTTCCCAAATTTGTCGTGATTGAATTGATTGCTATTGATTGAGTCGTATACAACCCTGCTAGGGGCTACAGTCAATCGGGTGTGATTGCCGCTGTGTTTTTACAGCGGTTGCTGACACACGACCTGTGGAGATCGACGAACGGCGGAAACGGTAGTGTCTCGAATATATGGTATCTAAGGTAATACGCATGCATGTATCGTATTCGTATGAAGTGGAGATGATGTGACATGAAAGTAATTAGTTTGAATTCAATGGTGCACATTAAACATAAGCTTGACTGAGTTTATTTTGACAGTTCACTTGTATTAACTCAGCTTATTAAAATATCTTAGTCTGTCCATAATCGGGGCAAACCGATAAGCAGCTATGGCCAACTGATGAAGATCATCGTATGCACACCCAAAACGTAAATTATTAAGCCTTAACCCTAGAACGCCTAGGGGGGGGGGTTGTATCAACCCCCCCCCTGAGGTTTTTTCGAAGTGCACGCTAAACGGCTTGTTGTAGCGGGCTGAAATTTTCAACACCCTCTGGGGCAACCTTTGCGCATCTTTTGCCGAAAAAAAATTGATCGGGTCATGTCAGGTCACGGAGTTATGACGTCATAAGAGGTACAGCCTCCGGCCGGATTTTCACAAACTGAGTGCCAACGCCCGAGGTTTCCTGCCGGTGGTACGGACATCGGTTGATGGATCGTGATGAAACTTCCCATGCATGTTGGGGCAAGTATTGGCTATCATATGGTATAAGAAATTTGACCGGGTCAGGTCAGGTCACGGAGCTATGACGTCACAAGAGGAACAGCGTCCGGTACTATTTTTGAAAAGCGCCCGAACCACTATTTTGCTAATTCTTGTCACCTCAATGGGAATATGCAGCAATATTAGCTTCTATAGGGAGCAAATGGACCTCCCAAATCCAAAAATACAATCAGATTTCAAAAATTTAAATTTTGATTTTTCGAATTTCTGCCGCCGACTGTGACCTTGCCGACTTCCGGCGCTCCCAACGCGCCATTTTTAGAGCTAGGGAAACGAAATACATACCAAACGATAGAGAATTGATCAAGGAACACGATAGTGAAGGTTTCAAGTCGATATCTCCCACCGGTTTGCCGCAATCGCCGCCGAAAGTTGAAAAAAGTCTATTTTTCCGAAAATTTGACCTTTGACCGGTCAAAAGTAGGTCAAATGTTGACCTAGGACCAAAAAATATACCACCAATCGCGAGATCTCGTTGAGAGCAATCCGTTGGTTTTTTCCGCTAAGCTCTACGACCTTCCGTTTCGAAACGCCAGGGGGGGGTCGTAACAACCCCCCCCCCCTGGTCGTTCGTGTTATGAGAAATGGCCTGGTCGTGCGAGGGTTAACCCTATTAGTGGCAGGGGGGGGGGGGTTGTTTTTATCCACCCCTCAGGTTTTTCGGGAATATCTCCGAAACCGCTGAAGCTACGATGCTGAAATTTTCTGACTTTTCCTAAAACTAAATTGGGCACATTCCCTGAAAATTTCAAGTTCATAACTTTACCAGGGGCGGCTCCAGAGCACTTGGAATTGGGGGTCCTATTCGTGAAGCGTGTCATTTGGGCGAAGATCACGATGCTGTACCAGTTTTACGAACAGCGAATGAAAGATATCATGTGATAACATATACAAAGTTATTGTGCATCCTCTTTTGACACGTTTTTGCTATGATAGGCGGATCCAGGCGTCCAAAAAGAGGGGTTATGTTTTACCTCCCAACATAGGTGCCCTGACACCGCCTATGCATGACCAATACAATTTTAGTCGTTCTCTCATAAGAAAATTGTAACACAACAAGACCATTACCACCCTTTTTAGAAACAGTACCAACAAAAACCTTATTTACCATACTTTTTGTGTACCCCCAATCTCAATCATCTGTATCCGCCTATGATTTTTGAAAATGCATATTTTTAGGATCCATGTGAATTCCTGGTTCATTCTCTATCGATCGGCAAAAGTTGCGCTAAGATTGGTTCAGAAACCTGGCCGTGATAAACAGTCTAAAATGTATCTGCAATTTGCCCATTTTTGCCCCCTCTACCCCCCCCCCCCCTATTGACATTTTTTAATTTTTATTTTTTAAAAATGTAGATCACGTTGAGCGAAATCGAATGCCGTTTGAATTTTGAAAATCGGCCCGTTAGATCTCGAGATATCAAGGGGGGGTTGTAAACAGCCCCCCTGCCACTAATAGGGGTAACCAGGAGCCTGCCACTAATAGGGTTAAAGTAAATAAACGGCATTGATAACCGCTCAAATTGTCTGTTACCTTGGGATCAGTAGAACAGTGAGACTGGCTGATGAGCTGGAAACTTATAGGACTGGCGACTCGTCATATTTTCCAGCGCTGAACGGTTACCTACTGGCCGGCCTGTGACCGGTTCAGTCAGCCAGTCATTTGATCAGTCAGTCAGTCAGTCAGTCAGTCAGTCAGTCAGTCTCTCAGTCAGAGAGCTTCAGACAGATACGGTGATAACAGCCGGCGTCTTTCACCTAGACATGCCGTCGATAGGGACCCGATGTCGATACCGGGCACTTGTGGTTGGTGCTTTCTAATTCGGTCGACCCGTACGTAAAGGTGGGAGGTGCCGAAGGTGGATCACTTATTGCTCAGAAGTGGCACAATAGGACCGAAATATGGCGGACATTGCGGCACTTTGTGAGTCATTTTCGTTCGATGCACGCCCTTTGCTCTCTGATCGTATACGTTTTTCGGTGTGGAAATAGCGGACCCAGCCACCCTCAATGTGCCTTGTTTACGGACTCGTCGATCAAAAGGGACGGATGGACCTCACTAGCTGGCAGTGCAGTAGCGAGCTGATGTTGAAAGTGTTTATGATCGCAATGGTGGGCTAGCCGATCTGGAAATAAAAAGTGGATGGGTACCACTTGCTCCGATCGAGCACGTGCTTCTACGTTTTGTGGCGCTGTTTATATCGTCAGTATCGTTTTTTTTTTTTTTGCAGTATCAATTTCAGTCTCTGACAGTGATGTTGTGTTTAATGTGTAAAATGCCACCGTTCCGTGCCTACATATTACAATACCTTCCTACTCTAGGGGAAAAATTGGAATGTTGAAGTGGGGTGCAGTTACACCGATAGACATACTGCTCAGGGAGCACCAACCGCATTGTCATGTGTTTATATTTACATTCACTTGGAGGAGGACCATAACTGGAACGAAGTATGGATGGGCTGGGCTGGCATTTCCTGCCGCTCGCTGGTACGATGACCTCTTGTAGCCCTGATGACCTCTCGCGACTCCGGTGACCTCTCGCAGTCCCGGTGACCTTTTCGATCCCTGGTGACCTCTTTCAGCCCCGGTAACCTGTTCACTCTGACCCGGTAACCTGTTCACTCTGACCCGGTGACCTGTTCACTCTGGCCGTTATTAACCCTCGCCCGTCTCTCTTTCCAGCGTCCCTGGCCGACTCGGTTGGGAACGCCTCCGTCTCCACGACGACCGACAACGAGCGTCAGTTGTTTGTCAAACACGAGTCGGTGGACATGCCGCCCATCTACAACCTCAACAAGCTAAGCAACTTCGAGGAGGTGCTGCCCTACCCGCCGTCATTCGCCTCAGAGCGATGTGACTTCGGGTCGGGTCACTACATCGCCGGCATGTCGCCAAACGACGATAACTTCTACCGTGCCACCAAGATGTGAGCGATTTGAGTCACTGTGCGAGGTCGAGCCTACTCAATAGTGACCGGAACTCATGCTGGGGTGTGTGCAGGTGGCTATTATGTGGTGAGACGTTGCCAGACGGTCCATAGACGGTTACCAGACGGCGGTTGTGCTGGCCATTCGTCTGTGATCACCGCGCACACAACCGCAGACCAGACGCCGGGACCGGAAACCTCTGCAGACTTCCGACCGCAAACCGATGATGACGGACGCGTCTGGTAGTGGCTGGGGCCGAACTGAAGGGGTGGCGGTCCACCAGAGTCCGGTCGGGACGCTCTGAACCAGCGCACCTTTGGACTCCAGGGGAGAGGGACGGTGTGTCTGCAAATCATCAGCGCGCCGCGGACTGTGAGCGCTCCCCCGGTGTGGTGACGGTGCAGAGGGGGTCCAGCGGGCCGCCGTATCATCTGAGGCTGCAGCACAGTCATCCCATGTGATAGGAATGAATGCGACGCGGCGCGGGCATTGATAGTGTTGGGGGTTATCGGTGCAGTGTTATTAGTGCCAGCGCTGGGTGCGTTGATGCGCGTGAGTGTTTGAGATGTGGTTGATACGCGAATGAGATCGGGTCTGTGGACGTAAAAGGACGGCTTTGTCGCAGTGGCAAACGTTGTCGCTGACACCGACAGTTCACAGTGTCGTTTGCACAGCCTGATGTAACACAGTCCAGTATCGCCGTTTGTATCTAATCCTGTCGAAAGAGCGTTCCAGTGAGTGCGCGACACATGTTTTTACACTCGTCCGCTGCGTGTACGAGCTGCCTCCGCTGAGGTCGAGGGCCGGGCTGGACCGTGTTCCCGCCCGAGGCACTGAGAACAGCGCTGACGTGTCCTCTGGTGGTTTACGCTGCCGTCAGGTGGCCATCAGCCACCGGACGCGCCCGGGACGCCGCTCAAACTCTACTCTCACCCTCCCTCTCTATTATACAACGTGAGGTCCCGCGTGGCCCGTATATGAGCCGACCGTGGCCTGGTCTGGTCTGGTATGAAACCTGATTTATGGTCTGATTACTGAGCTACGGGGAGGTCGCTAGAGTGTCCCGCCTGCCCGCACTTCGCGAGATTATTTATGTTTGTTTTGTATCTGCTGTAGGTAGCCAGGAAGTGCGTAGCGCGTGGCCGCACCGAGCCATTCTCTGTGCATTATTCGCGGACTGCAGGTGACTGCCATTGGTTTAATGAGGACCCGATGAGTTTGCACTGGGCGTGCCGGCGAACTCTGTAGCGCGCTGTGGTCACAGAGTGACCGTGTTTATACGCGGCCGATGACTGGTACAACCCGTCAGCATTGCACGCTGTATTTATACTCTGCTGACCGCCGGGCGCAGTGCAGTGGTGTGTGCGCGTCCCGGGCCCCGGGCGGGTGACGAGGCTCACCCACCGAGAGCGAGACCGCGCCTCAGCCAATTAGGGGCGCTAATAATCCAGAGATACGCTCTCTCTCTGTGTCGAGCGTGGATGGGCCGTCGCGAAGCGCTTTGAGTCGTGCACGCAGCGCTGGTATGTTCGATGGAGTGTGTATGCTGGTGTGAAGTCACCTTGGTCTCGTTTTCAGTAATACATACATGCGTGCCATCATCGCCAATTCCGTGTGATATCTGCTGCCGTTTGATCAGAGAGATCTCACTCGACTGTTTTCCTGCCATTCCCGATAGCGAACCTCCTGATGAATTCGCCCATACAGACAGCAGCTCGGGTTACGCTATTTTCCCGATGGAACTGGACGGCCAGCCCAGAGGAGGGCTCGTTTGTGATAGGGCGCTGATTAGACCGGTAAACACTGCACGGGCCGCGGCCGGTCATGGTCTCGAGACGAGAGGGCAGAAAAGCCATGTTTTATGGAGCTCTTAATAAACCTGACTATGACTATGACTATGACTATGGGCGCGGACGTGCCTCTGGCCCGGCGACACACGGATTTGTAAACACTACAGCCGCGCCGCCGACGGGCGGAGAGCTCTGAATGAGTTGTGAGGGCGCTGACGGTGGTGTAGTGATGAGAGGATGGTCATAACCGTGGGATGGGCGGGGTAGACCACACACAGAGCCGGTAGGCTAACCACAGCGGCTAACTGAGTAAGCAAACGAAGTGTAAAAACGTCTAAAAATGTAGCATAGCGTCACTAGAGCCCACAGCTAAGCGTCCCTCATGAGCATGTCGTGAGAGCATGTCCCTCGTGACATGAGCTGACCACGTTTCGAGATAAAGCTCCGGTGATACATGGTGCGGGCAGTATCCAGACTACAGTGCGTGACGAACATAGTGATTTTTATCTCGTACGAATAGAAAAATGAGAGATGAAGAAAGCATTTCGGCTCTCACATGATTACGCCATTTTTTTTTTGTCAGTGAAACCTTTAGGCGAGACGATCGATAGTATCGAGACGAGACCACAACCGGACCATTCATACCACAGGTAAACCAATCGGACCACAACTGTTGTGACCACAGCCAAGTGAGCCAGACCAGTCAGCGACCACTGCCAAAAGTACCAGACTACGGACCATCGTCGCCGCGACGAGCTGCCGTCCAGAGGATGACGCCATTCGGCCACTAACGGTCACGGCCAGCGGCCGAGACGACAAAGCACCGGCGTCCAACAGCCGGCTGAGATAACCCGCTTCCCGCAACTGCCCCCCCCCCCCCCCCTCCCACGGACCGGGGAGGCTGCGCCAGCGCGGCGGTCTCATCACACTCTGTGGAAACGGTCAACACTCACGTCACTGTCAGCGTGCAGCGGCCAGCGGCAGTCGGTTCTCCGACTCATGAAGTCACGGATACGAGGCATATCCTGTTCCCGCTATCACAGTGGACAGGTATTCACTGAGTAGTGAATACGATAACGAGACTTGATTTGGGCCCATTCTCCGCGGCCAAAATGCACAGGACGTTTGGCTGGTTCACAAACGGGTAAGGGCTAAATGAGACAAGCGCTGTATCACGAATGTTTCCTCGAATCAAACCTCACCATTTTCTAATGCAAACCCCGATTCTCCGAACGCACAACTGCCCGGCGCCGTCATCCGTATCCGTCGGGGCGGGCCGACGCCAGTTTACGACGCGCGTCGCCTTCGACGCGGCGGCGGGTACTTCCGAGACGAGCCGGCGACTAAATTCGGCGCAGCGGCGCGCACAAAAAGCACCGCCAGTCGACTGCGATTTTACAGCCGCCGCCAACGATCATGACACGGAGCAGGCCAGTCAGCGCCACCGTCGGGGGGGGGGAGGGGTACCCACGGGGAGGGTGCGGGGCCGAGGGCACGCACAGACGCCGGCCGGGAGGCGGCCAGCCGTTTATGACCGTCGTGTCGCCAGGGATGCCATAAACAGGGCGGTATGAGCCATAAGTGTGCCGCCGGGGAGTCTCAGACACTGGCCTCTCTGAGCTCCGCTGGCGCCGGCAGGGCCCCGGGTTATGGGGACGCGGATTGGTCTCGTATGAAGAGGGTCCTCTCAGGCAGAGTGCCGCGCGCACACACACGTGTGTTTTATGGTGGGGTACAGCAGATGGGGCCACAGCGGCGTTAGGGATGGAGGGATGGATCGAATCTATTACCCTCGTCGAACACTGAACGGTGCGGCAGTATTTTGGGAGACGGCGGGCACCATCGCAGTCTGTTTTACGAGTATTAACCCGATCGCATCGCTCATTGGGCTTCAGGGCCTCCTGGTTACTGTTCCGATAGCTGGGCATTGGACGATGGACATACAGTGCTTTAATGTCGCCAATTTCTGAAAAAGTAGCGAGCATCAGATGCACTCCTTCCCTTTATGACATCGCGCTGACGACATAGACGTAAATGATAATTTATGTTTAGGAGTTTCATGTATACCTATGAATTACCTGATGCTTCGGGACTTTGGGAGTCGTTTTTGGTTACAATGCACGAAAAATGTGGTCCTAAGTCATAACCCAATACTATCCAATAATGCCCACATAAAACTGCAAAAAAGAAAACTTTAAAACCCTGAGGAAACGGCGCTCAGTTACTCTTAGGAGGTCCGTGGAGCAGTTTGAAAAATGACTGCGGCGCGAGGAGCCACACCTCCAGTCCATGTGTCTGGCTGAACGATTCACGTAGGATAGGATCAGATTTACGATAGCCGCCGTCCATTTCAGTCTGGAACGCTAATTCACAGGTTTTGTAGGATCTACGTTAGCATCAGCGTATGATGATGCATGGATCCCTTTACAGATCAAGCCCCGATGCCTTCGGATAAGCGATGATTTGGTTAGCTGAAAATTATCCTGCAATAAGCACTGCCTATCGAGCATCGAATGCGACGCACCCTTCTGCAGCTATACCACAGAAGCATGTAAGTGTATACCTAATCGTCCGTGCATCGTTTACACTATAGTCGGCTCCACTAGCAGGTATTCCATCAATTGACGAAGGCAAGTCTTAACCCTAGAACGCCTAGGGGGGGGGGTGTATCAACCCCCCCCCCCCCGAGGTTTTTCTTAGCTACACGCCGAACCGTTTCAGATAGCCTGCTCAAATTTTCAGTACCCTTTGGGGCATCCTTTGCGCAACTTTTGGTAATTTTTTTTGTCAAGGTCATGTCAGGTCACGGAGTTATGACGTCATAAAGGGAACAACCTCCGGCCAGATTTACGCTAAATTGGAGATTGCTTCACATTGGTACCTATAAATGCCGACTGACCTGACGCACTGATGGATTGTTTTATAGAATCACAACTGGCTGATTTGACATTGGCACAATGTCCGTTGACATTTTGAAGGTCACTAAAGGTCAAGGTAAGGTCATTGACCTCGGTTGACCTGTAATGACTTCTTGCACTTGTATGCCATTTCGGGGTATTTTGATGCCCTGAATTCGAATTTGCTATCCATTTCAGGCATCGTCGGTTGTTTCTTGTAGTTCATTTTGGGTCAGGGTCAGGTCAGTGACGTCACACGCCTGACGTGACCCAATGGACAAATGACCTTGCAGACTTCCGATGCTCCCAACGCATCATTTTTAAAGTTATGACATCGAAATACGCACCAAACGATAGAGAATTGATCAAGGATCACGTTAGTGAAGGTTTCAAGTCGATATCTCTTACCGTTTTGCCGCAATCGGCGCGGAAATCTGAAAAAGTTAGATTTTCCGAAAATTTGACCTTTGACCGGTCATAAGTAGGTCAAATGTTGACCTAGGACCAAAAAAATATACCACCAATCGCGAGATCTCGTTGAGAGCAATCCGTTGGTTTTTTCCGCTAAGCTCTACGACCTTCCGTTTCGAAACGCCAGGGGGGGGGGTCGTAACAACCCCCCCCCCCCCCTGGTCGTTCGTGTTATGAGAAATGGCCTGGTCGTGCGAGGGTTAAAAAGATTATGAGGATCTGTCTTGCTTTTAGACACCTTCTCAGTCGCTTTGAGCCGTCTCGCTCAGCATAAGTAAGCGACTAAATAAGCATTTCAACATAAAACTGAGCAAATAATACACAGAAATATGAACTGTTTAGTGTTTTGCCATAACCCATCAGGGGGCGCGACATAAACAAATTTCGCAGCCACGACGGAGGCTAGAGCTGACTAGAATCTGATCTTTCTTGTCGAAACGAGAAGCTGGTTTTTATCAGCACACGGGTTATTTGCTGGCTCTCCGTAGTCCGTTGCCTTTCGTTGAACAGAGCGAGGACGGCCGCACACAGCGAGATGGGGGCCAGGTAGAATACAGGCAGTTTATGGCAGAAGCTACAGCGTGGAGATAAAACGGCTAACGAGCTGGTCCTGGCTCAAAGTGTTCGAGCTACAGCTGGTATCCACAATTCCTTGCCCCTTCCTTGCGTTTTCAGTCACGTTTTCGTCGTGCATCAGAAGTAGAGGTGGCAAAATGTGGACCCGAGGACCCGGTCCAAAGAACCAGTCTGGACCCATCTGGGTCCAGACCGGTTCCTGGAAATTTTCTGATGGGTCCAACCGGGTCCTACCATAAACTATACATCTTGCACACTACACATTATTGCAAAATATGAAGTGAATGAAGTGATGTTTCTTTGCACACAGTAGCTCATGAGTATTCCCAGTGGGAAATAGGCTGTTTTACATCATGCAACTAATGATACCTACAAGTAGTTTGTATTAATTGACTTTTGGGAAACGGGTCCAACTGGTTCCGATTCCAACTAAGACCGGGTCCGACTGGTTCCAGAAATGTCCAGCCGGGTCTGGTTCGAGTCTGGTTCCCAAAATTTTCATCTTTTGCCACCTCTAATCAGAAGGCCCAGGCTCAGGCTCAGCCACTGACCAGCTGTCCGCACTCATGCTCAATGTCCTCGATCGCAAACCCCACAAAGACAGCATTTCATTCCGACTTCGTGTATTGGTCCCTACAAGCGTGCAGGGTAATGCTGTCCACATAAAGATGTCTAAACAGAAACCACATAGTCTAAAATGCGATCCCCGCGCCACCTGTCGGCTAATTCATTAGTCGGAGTTCTCAGTTTATCCGCACGGCGGCGCCATTGACGGCTCCGCCGGCGCAGAGGACGCTCCGGTCGGTCGGTGGCTGTCTAGTTCTCGTAGACCCAGGTGTGCATGGCCGACTTCCAGCTGGTGAG